CTCTCTCTCTCTTTCTTTCTTTCTTTCTTTCTTTCTTTCTTTCTACCAAGGATTGAACTCAGGGACACTCAACCCCTGAGCCACATCCCCAGCCCTATTTTGTATTTTATTTAGGGTCAGGGTCTCACTGAGTTGCTTAGCACCTTGCTTTTGCTGAGGCTGGCTTTGAACTCGTGATCCTCCTGCGTGAGCCCCCTGAGCCTCTAGGATTACAGGTGTGTGCCACCGTACCCGACTCAAGGACATTTTTCTCTTCAGTTTTCTTGGTAGCTTTGGCAGGAGCCTCTCATTCTTGGGATCATCCTAAGTTTTACAAAGCCTCAAAATAGGGACCTTTTTGAGGCATGGTGTCGCACACACCTGCAATCCAAGCGACTCAGGAGGCTGATGCAGGAAGACCATAAATTCCAGGTCAGCCTTGGCAACTTACTGAGCCCTGCCTCAAAATCAAAAATGAAAAGGGCTGAAGGTGTAGCTCAGAGGTAGAGCATCCCTGGGTTCAATCCCCAGTACCATCCACACAGGCCTCCCACAGCACATCTGCGAATGGATAAAGAAAATGTGGTACATATACACAATGGAGTATTACTCAGCCATCAAGAAGAATGAAATTATGGCATTTGCCAGTAAATGGATGGAACTGGAGACTACCATGCCAACTGGAATAAGCCAATCCCAAATAACCAAAGGCCTAATGTCATCTTTGATATGCGGATGCTAATACACAGCTAGGGGTGGGACCGAGAGGGAAGAATAGAAGTTCATTTTAGCTTAGACAAAGGGGAATGAAGGGAGGAGAGGGGATGGGAATAGGAAAGACAGAACGAATGGGACAAAACTTTCTAATGTTCATGTATGAACCCACGACCAGGGAAACTCCACATGGTGTACAACCACAAGAATGGGGCCCTAAATAGAATAAGTTATACTCCATGTAGCGATCAGTCAGAATACACCCTATTGCCATGTACATCTAAAGAGAACAAATTCAAAATTTTTTAAAGAAAAGCACGTGTGCCCACCCACAGTTGGATTTTTTTCTATAGATACTTCCTAAGTACACCAGAGCCTTGTAGGTCAAGCAAAGGAGTATTTGGTAGGAGATGGGCCCAGTGGTGCACACTCCTGAAATCCCAGCAGCTCAGGAGGCCGAGGCAGGAGGATCACAAGTTCAAAGCCAGCCTCAGCAAAAGTGAGGCACTAAGCAACTCAGTGAGACCCTGTCTCTAAATAAATACAAAAATTAGGGCTGGGGATGTGGCTCAGTGGTCAAGTGCCCCAGAGTTCAAGCTCCAGTGCCCCTGTCCCAGAAGAAAGGAGTATTTGGGGGGCCGTTTTGTGCATGAGCGCCCTTATCATTTGGGTCCTCCTGGGAGAAACACAGCTGGTGACTGACCCTTGTCCCAAGGGGCTTGAATGACACTCAGCCTTCCATGTCCTCTAGGTGTGGCGCCATCTTCCCATGAATTTCCAAAGCCACCAGCGTGGTGCTCTGTGTCCTCTCGCCCAGACGGCACACAGACGCCGGGCATGTCCTTCCACTGCTTCTGAGCTGTCCTTCCACTGCTTCTGAGCTGGGGTCATTACAGCTTGAGAGGAGTAATAAGTGTCCCCAGGATCAGGAGACGACTGGAGACGAGGAGATAGGGGGAAGACAGGGCGTCCGCCAGCCCAGGGACACTGCCCACAGCACTGGGCACTGAGGGGACACTGGGGCCAGCTCCTGGGAGTCCCCTCTTTCTCCGCAGGGGACGAGTTCCCCAGAGGCTGTCTGCAGTCCCCACCAGGTGGCTCCTTCTCCAACCTACTGGGAGGAGCCGCTCCTGACCCCTCTCCAGCAGTTCACGGAGGAGGAGGAGGTGCGACAGAGGGGAGTGGCTCTGCCCTGGCCCTGCCCTCACAACTGTGCCCTTGGGCAAGTCCTGTCACCCCTCTAAGCCTCAGTGGGGTGCCAGCCAGGACCTGCTGGGATGGGCCGTTGCAGGATGGGACGAGGTGGGTGCCCACCATGTGGGTCTGCAGCGAGGAGGGACCGTGTCCCAGGCTGGGCCTCACCTGGGCGCGGGGCCTGGGCCGCAGATGCACCCAGGTGACCACAGCAAACATGTCAGCCCTGGGAGGAGCGTAAACCTGGGGACTCAGCCAGGACAGGAGACTCGGGAAGGCCAGGCCTGACTGCTCCGTATGCTCTGTGGGCGCTCATACACAAAACAGCCCACCAGAGACTTTCTTTTTCAGGAGCAGGGGCACTGGGGATTGAACTCAAGGGCACTTGACCACTGAGCCACATCCCCAGCTCTATTTTTTTTGTATTTTATTTAGAGACAGAGTCTCGCGAATTGCTTAGCACCTTGCTTTTGCTGAGGCTGGCTTTGAACTTGTGATCTGTTGAGAGCCACAGCCAAAGGGGCCCCGGCAAACTTATATCAATTCTATCCAAATGCATATTTTCCATATATGTTTCAATGATTTTTAATGCCTTTCTTGCTTCAGGTGTTAACATTCGGGGTGAATTTGGATCTGACGGACCTTTTAGGATATCAAATAAAGGTCCCAACTCTCCTTTTGGTATACTTAGATAAGGCCTTATCCAATTTATGTCTCTTAATAACTTTTGAAAGTCGTTAAGTGATTTGAGTTGATCTACTCGTATTTGAATTTTTGGTGGACGGACCATGGTTGAGGATAATAGAACTCCTAAATAATTAATTGGAAAATTTAATTGTACTTTATCTATTGCTATCTCTAGATTATAATTTTTTAA